CCCCAAAACCCCAAAACCCCAAAACCCCAAAACCCCATAAGAGGGAATAAAATATTTTGGAATATAAAATGAACCAAATATTTACAATACATTTTAATTTTGATGAAGCTTAATTAAACTGATTAAATTATAGATGGAATCAAGAAATTTATGGGAATGGTTAAGAAATATTTTAAAGATAGGGGTTCTTTAACTCAATAAAAAATACTATAGATATCTATCGATCTATTGTTCATCTCAGGATATCTAAATCATTTAGCTAGGTAATATTCAATTCTTTGGCAAGAAACATTGACTGAATTTGGATTATTAGTGTTGCCAGTCAAGAGTACTGGACTAATCAAAGTTACTAACCCATCACTGATTTAATCTCTTTCATAAACATACATCTCATCTGTATTGTTACCATCCTAATCTTTGCCACATCTTGCGACAAATCTTAGTTAAATAAATTTACCATCAAGAGTAAAGTAGTTTCTCCACCAATAGTTATAGTTCATATTACTAAATCTAGTTTGATCAAATGGGAATGATTCTTTTTGTGATAAACTAAAAACAACAGAATCAACTCTTCTATCTCCTGTATTGTCTCTACTCGGAGTTGTTCCATTTACGTAGAATCCAGTAATAGCATTATAGTTTGTCTTATAGAGCACAATTATATCATTCTTATTTGAAAAAGTATCAATTCCCTCTTACATTGTCATTTGATCAGCATTTGCTCCAAAAATTTGAGTCATTTTAGTAAAATTTTTACCTTGAATCAATGATGTTATCCACTTAAAATCTTGAGAATTGGCAAGAAGTGATTAGAATTGCTGAGAGTTGATTATGATTTAGGGCTCTGTTGTTGTAGGATTATTCTGATTTGGTTCAGATACTACATATTCAGCTTCATTCTAGTGTCCAACCTATGATGAAAGACTTAATAATCCGATAGAGTTGACTAATGCCACTGAGATTTCATTATAAGCAGATATACTTGCGCCTTTAGCTCCTTCAACTTTATACCATTTTTAAGAAACAGTTTGCCACTTTAAGAGAGTAAAGTCAGTAACATTTGCTTCTTATTATAAAGCCCAAAGTGAACCATCGATACCTGCACTTATACTGACAACTTTTTCACCTCCATATCTTGCATCAACAGAACCATCATTTTATATTAGAATTGGCTCATCTTTAAGGAGAGTAATTCCTTTGTATCCTGTAAGAGCCTTGTACTTATAAGGTGACACGAAAGCTGATTTGTAAGAACTGGAAACTGTATCGCTAGATAATACTCCTTAACCATCATTCAGTCCGATAATCTCCTTTTGAACTGTTACTTCAAAATCTGATAAGCCGCAGATCAACTTTTCCTGAAGCTAGTTTCTGACACAGTTATCTGAATCAAGATAATACATGTTTCCTAGTCTATCGAATCTGACAGCCTTCACATCAAAGCTGGTATTAACTAAACTCCAAATACTTGATGAGATATTATATAAGTAGAGTTGATATCTAGTTGCCGAAATCTCGGAAGATATTTTTTGGATTGCATAGACATCTCCATCTGGAGATGTTTAAACATCAGTGAATGCGTTAACCACAGACCATTTCAACTCTTATGTTGCATTCCAGCTGAACTTATTAGTAGCTTCTTATCTCCATTCAAGCTAACTCCTCTGTTTTTAGATTGCTTGACTGATTTAGATTGCATCTGTTTGTAGAGCGAGCAAGGCAGTGACCAATATAGATTTAGTTATCATTGAAATTATTTGATTTTAGTTTTATCAGCATGCTTATATAGTGCTTTTGTAAGAAAAAATTTTAATTTCTGAGCAGAAAAATTTTCCATTCATAAATCCAAAGCAACGTGAGCTCTATATTACAGGAAATTGTTTACTCTGACTAATGATGATTTGCTTTATATGTTGAAAAGTTTCTTATAGTTATAATTTTATTCAAAAATAATCAACATAAGTTTCTCATGCAAATCTAAGACTTTGAAAATGAAGTGATTTTAACTTAGATTATGAACCTACTAAATTTAGAAATCTATTGATGACAAAATTGCCAGCGAAACCCTTCGAAAAATATGAATTATATTTAATTAAATTTGGATTTAGAGCGAATTGGGTAGTTTTTACTCCAAAATTGAACCAAATATTTTAACTGATATAAGTGATTCTCTATATTATTATTTAGCTTGAGAATAAAATAAAGCAAATTAATTGAATATTTTAAATACTTAATTATTTGTCCTATTCATTTATGGTATGATGATGGGGTTTTGGGGTTTTGGGG